GCGGGGGCCCGGGAGGCCGCGGGGGGCGGGCTGGGCCGGGCGGGGCTGACCCGGAGGTGAAGCCGGTTGTCGGGGCTCCCGGAGATCTTCAGGTCAAGGTGCCATAGGATGGGACGCGCCTTCCCCCAGGGCTCGAATTACATTTGGAGTCTGAGGGTCTGCAAAATAAATTGAGCTGCCCATCACGATGCTCTAATAAAATTGGAGACCCCCCCTAAGTTATGATTGCCAAATCTTACCGGGGGGGGGCGCTTCATGTCTTATGGGGCGGCTCAGCCCTCCCAAGCTGCCCCGTAATTTGAACCCTGAACTTCCCCTCGCTGGCGCCGGCAAGATCCCGCACCAGAGCCCACCAGGGGGAGGCCAGATGCTGGGGCTTGTGGCAGGGTGCCCCAGCAGCCCCATCCAGACCTCGGATGGGGGCTCCCAGCCACAAGGGTGGCCACAAGGTCGGATTATGGGGTGATAAGAACGAGCCACAAAGTTATACTACATACTTTGTGGACCAGCCCCATGGGTTGTTCTGTCCTGTCACACCATGATTAGATTGAACGTGTAGCTGGGTTGCAACTGAAGATGATTGACTGGTTAATCGTGTCTGAAGCGAAACGTGTGGATGGGGCCTGCGGGCGAGAACGCACCCGGCGTGACACGGCTCCTTGCCCTGCTCTGTCTCTGCTTCTAGGTCTAAGTGCCTCCTGCACAGGAGGGGCTCTGTGTGGTACCGCAACGGAGAGCAACACGTGTCCCCCTTTGGAAATGGCGGTAACACACATTACGGTGACACTCAGCAGAGACTCTTAAGATCTCAGAGCATCAGATTGACTTGACACAAACCAGTTGACTTGGACCACACCTCGCAGCTCAGCCCTGTGGAAGGCATTCATTCCCTTTAGAGGGGAAGTTGTAGCTTAAGATTTTGCGTGACTGGCTTTGCCTAAGCTCACCAGGGAAGTGGACTGCGAGGCAAGGAACAGAGGCTGATGCCTGTGACTAATTGCAAGACTGTTGTTCCTTCCCAAGAAGATAAAAAGTCTCATCACCAAACATGTTCCAAAGCCCTTGGAAGACAAGGGACAAAATAAAAACAGGTCTCTGCTCTAGACTGCAACTCAGAGAAATTATTTTCAGCAAAGGAACAAACAGCTGAGCACAAGCTTAACTCTCCTGTTTCCATGAAGCTGCCCTGAACTGGGTGATATTCCCATCATCAAAATAAGAGTCTCTTAATTAAAACGAAGAGTTTAATTCAGAAGTTGCTATCATCTCTCTCCTGCAAGTCTTTTCCTTCCCAGCAAAATGGATGCCAAACATCTGACATGCCCCTTCCAATGCTGAGTGGTCATGATAATTGTTTTTTCCTCCCATAAGAATGCACTACAGAAACAGTCTCCATTCTCCTGCTAAAGTGCAGTCATTCCCAATTAAGACTGGTCTTTGAAAGACTTGCAAATGCTGTTCCCACCTTCTTCCTCCTACTACTTTGCCAGACCTAAAGAGTGGTCACTATCCCCAACCAAATCCAGGCTTCTTACTGCAAAAGAGCATACAGAACTGCACAAAGGTTGCATTTTCCCTGTCTTACCCAAAGAAGACAACCTGGCCATTTCTCACTTCCTGCCCTTCATTACCAGGCTAGAAGAATTATCAAAACGTTTGGTCTTGTAGAAAGTCCGTATCCATCCTCCATTCTTTGTCAGTGAATAAACGGCTTGGGCTTATGAAGTCTGAAAATCAAAGAATTAAAATGCTTTAAACTGATCCCTCGCTGGTGCCTCCTCGACACAGGGATATTTCTGTCTCTCAAATTCTTTATCTAATGAGCCTGTTGGTTATATAAAAATAATAGACTAAGAAGGGAATTTGCCCCATGCTGAAACTGACTCCTTTAAACATGCTTAGCTCCAAAAAACAGCAGCAGCAGCAATATAATTAAAATATGCAAGAGAAAACAGCATGCTTTCCCAATAGATCAATTTAAGCATAATATTTTGTCTAGGATGATGGGAGTGGATATCTTTCCAAAAAAAGCAATGCCCAATGATTTCGAAGGACTTTAATTTCCCCAGACAGAAGGTGCTATATATGCCATGTACTAATATTAATAATTCATTTTAGTAATATTTTGGTACCCTAGACTGTTTTTTACCTTGTTCTTGCCAACAGAGCTTACAACCTTCATCCCAAGTGGTATAGGAACCAGGAAGCTATTTAAGGCCTACACATAGCTTGCATTTTTCATGAGGTTGCAACTGAAGTGCAACAGCTTTAGGAGTACTGGCTGGGTAAGAGAGAGAGAGAGGAAAAAGAGAGATTAGCTCCAGTTTATATTACTTTAAAAAAAGTCTTGCTTCTTGTTTACTTTCCCTGACTGTATTAAAGAAAAAAATGCATAAAGAATGTAGAACTTCAAAATGGCTGCAGGGATAAAGGATGCAGGTGATATTCTACTGTAGTTTCTAGTGATAATCTTTATACAACCTCCTACGCAGCTAATAAGCTGGAAAAAATGCATTCTAAATTTTAGAAAGTTTGACTGACAAACTTTTATAAAATCTGTGCCCCCCCCCCCAATCTGGCACAATTCTCCTTCCCCAATCTGGCACACTTTATGTTACCTGCTTTTTCACATTGTCTGACAAGAGGCTGACTGACGGACAAATTAAATTACTTCAAAGTTAGTCAAAATGTGACTGAAAAGAAGAGCTGTCAGATTTCCCAAACTTCCATAGATCTTCAAAATTATATTTTTTGAAAGAAGCCATATTCATCAGTGCTTTTAAAACAGCACAGAGTGTGGTAAAACTGAGCATTTAGATAAGTTACTATGACTATAGATTTGTTTTAATACAATGGTCTGAGATTTTGGAGGAAATAGAATGAGGTTAGATTGCTTTTGCCCTGTCATTTAAAAAAATTGTCTGTTATTTGAACTCTTGCAGGGATCATAAAAAATGCTGGACTTCTCTTAAACGTTTTAATTTTGAAATTGTCCCAGAACTGGTCCCACAAAGCATTGGGACACTTCATTAACCATTAACCAGCAATGGTGAATACGTTTTTTAAATGTTTCCTGTTTTGCCTGTGTCCAGGAAGAAACCCTTGCCTCCTTCATCTCATTATTTTGAAAAAAGCGCTTTCCCCAACAGCAGCACTGCTTTGTATAGTAACAAATAATCTATCAGGCTGCCTGACAAAATGATGCCCCAAATTCACAATTAAGGCATTTATATTTCTCCAGGAACAAGAAATATTAGGGGTTGTGTCCCTTTTCCTTTCACCTCTTTCCATTCTATTTAATCTCTCCCTTCCCCACAAAGAAAATTAAAGTAAAAAATTGTGGAGTTGAGCTAACACCTGCTGCTGTTGTGTTTTTACATTTCTTATCTGCTATGCACTGTGTCAGTCTTGTCTGTTTAGACTGCAATCTCTTTTTGGATAGGGAACATACTCTGCTGTATATACCCCACGTTTGGGGCCTGTACTACCCAAATAAACAGGATTAAAAATAAACAGCATGATTTTGAGGTGTGGACAGCTGAATTTCTAAAATATAATTTTAGAAAGTGTAGTATCACCCTCTCCCTTAAAATCCTCTATCAGTGGGATTATGTTAGATATTGATCTGATGTATGGCTTTGGTTCAGGAGTAGCAGGGGGAGGTAATTTCTATGGAAAAACAGGTACCAAGTGACAGGGTCGAGGTTAGGGCTAAAAGGGGTGGTGGTGGCACTATATGGAGATTCTGGACAGCAGTACTTAAAGCTGGCTTCTAAAACCTGGGGCAACTTCCTGGCCCACCCAATTTGTGCCAGTGGCCATTTTGACCCGCGCTGCAGTCAGGACTCAGGAAAGCTCCAGATCACTAAAGTCGCATCTGTCCTTGCTTCTCCACTGCTGAGTTTTCTGTGCTGTAATCAATGGGCAACTGGCCAGAATTTATCCCCACCCTCAGCTATTAATTCAGACTCAAATCAAGCCAGGAAAAGGTGCCCTGGAGTCAAACAGGATTAGCATGGTCGAGACATGCCAGTTTCCGTAGCCAGTGTCACACAAGGGAGTGGTGCAGCTATCATCGTGTCCAGGCTTGCTTTGACACCCCAGCCTGTGGTACCACAGTGTTGCCAACTCTCATGTTTTTTGGCATTGTTCTTAAAGTCTCCTCTTTGGGAATGTGAAAAACTTAGCTCTTTCTTTTTTCACATTCCCAAAGTGTAGACTTTAGGAACAACCTAAAAAATCATGAGAGCTGGTAATACTGGTGGGTACCACTTACATTTGAGTTCACTGGGGTGGACTTCAGAATGACAGCTCAAACCCCTGCAGCCATAGCAAGATGTCTCAAGTGGTCCGTCACCATTCCCTAGCAATTCAAACTCAATATGTACCCTCTACTTCTAGAAACAGCAAAGGGAACATCCAAATACAAGTATAGTAAGTCTCAGCAGAGTTATCCTATTACCTGGTTATTTGTATGGTGTCTGGTATAAGAACAACACTCCTTGTAGAAGTGGGCATTACCATCTCTTGATAAACACCGAGTTTACTATAACGATGTAATGCTTTTATTTTTTTGACCTTCGTACCAAGAAGCAAGGGTAGAATCAGCTATAAGTTTCTGTCTCTGTTATTACCCAGAGTTGTTATAAAAAGAAGAGAAAAGAGGGAGGGGACAGATAGACAGTCATGTCTTCTGAAGCAACCCAGGATAAGGTTCAGACATCTGCGCTACAGCAAAATGAACAGGTAAGTTGTGGTTGCTTCCATTTTCTGTTTAATGATATCACTAGCCAGTGACTGGGATTGTTGTGCTGTCACTAGCTCATGAAAAGGTGAACAGCTGTTTGTTAACGGATGATGTTGCAGGAAAAAATGCAGGAGAGGAGGGGCTTGTTACTATTCCTTTATGGAGTGCGTCCTGATCTACTTCAGGGTGGAGAGGATAGTAGGTAGCAGGGAGCCTTCCGATTACTAGGCTGCTTCAGCCCCATTCTGAGCCATAACTCCAGGCAGGCTGCCCTAACATATGCCATCTAGCCTTGATCCAACAGAGACCTTAGTCCAGTTATGAACTGGCAGACCACAGGTGTTCCCTGACCCATCCTTTTCTACCACAAGATCAGATTTTGAGGTTAATTTGGCAAAAGAGCCTGTACACTGCTTTAAGGCAGTTGAGAGCTACCAAATACCTGGGGGAAATCAGTCATCCCACTTTGGCTATCTTGCACCATTCTGTCTGTGGATAGGTGACTATTTAACTAAGAGTAATTTTGATATGGTGAAGCCATAACTGTTCACATCCTTACCTTTTACTTGGACTCCTTTATAGACCTTATCGTATTTGACTTAGCTATGAACAACACAAACTTCATTCCCTATGCTACAACCTTGCTGTGAAACTCAGTTTGGGGTCAATTTTGTAGACCTTATTCAAGTGAAATCTCAATAATCTTAATGGGAGCAGTAATTGAATAAGGAGCAGGGCATCATTAAGTTAACATTTAAAACATGTAACTATAATCAGTAAATTATTTCGGCACTCTACAGAATTATGTATCAGAATAGTTTAGATTGAGGCAGTACTTGACAGCATGGCATATCTGTACAGCCACCTGCACAGCCACCAAGGTTTTCCATGTGCTACATAATCTAGTCTTTTTAAAAAAAAAAAAAAAAGGTTTATTTTTGCTGTTCTTGTTGCAACGAAAACCTGGAAAACTCTGAAGTGTGAACTTCTCTATTTGCCTCAGCAAGATAACTCACGTGCCCCAGTGATGGCCAGCATTCCCTCTAAGCTGTGCAGTGTGCACAGTTGCACAGGCTTGTCTGGCAGCGCAGCATGAGTGTGCCTGTGTGGCCACGCAGCTTAAAGGGAATGCTAGTGATGACACTATACATGCCAACATTGTTAATTATGTCACTGATCAGTAAAAAGAGGGGCATACAATCTGCTATGAATAACATTTTGGTGCCATGAATGCATGGGCTTGAGAGAATGTCACCACTTCTCACAAGCAAAAAAAAAGCTACACCCAAGACAGCAAACAGAATTCAGTAGTCCAGCTCAGTCCTACTGAGGAGGAGCCAGCTCTAAAAACCCTAGCAGAATGTATGAGTCACACAGAATTGGGAAGATAAGCTGGAGAGGCCGACAGAGTCTGTGATCATCCTGAAATACCTGCACAATCTATAGAGAGTGGCATATTAATTGGATAAAGTTTATTTTGTGGAAGGACCTTTGGGCCAGAACTACTTCACCTATTTGGCAAGTAAGTGGCATGTAGCTCTCTTGAGGGCCAAAACCTACCACTCTGCTTGAGGCCCTGAAAAAACATTATGTTTGAAATATGCTTTTAGACTGAGCCACAGAAAGCAGTGATTTGAGGCAGAAGACCCAATTGTTCATCAGAGATGGACCAGGGTAATCAGTGAAATAGGATCTGGCCCTAAATGGGATCCTATGATGACCTGCTTGAGTCCTTGAAAATGGTAATGCACATGTTGTGTGGATTCCCTTCCTTCTCTTTGCTGCTTTTTGGGATTTGTCTTCAGGCTAGGATGAAGGGAGGTTACAAAAACATGTTGACAGTTGGAATGAGATTGCACTTAGATGCCTAATTCAGTGTTGAAAAACAGCTAAAGTGTGGTTGATCAGAATAAAATAATAAGAGGAACACAACAATTTACAGCCTGTGTTAAACTAACAAATGAACTGTTTCAGGAAAAAGTGGGCCGGGGGGTACATGTCTTAACTCTAAAGCCCTACAAAAAACTTCATATATTGGCACCACGGCTATTAAATATTTGATGCTGGACTCGCAGCAGAATAGAGGCAGGGTTGATTTGTTATTTTTAGTTATTTATGAAAAGAAAATCCCTAATAATTACGTGTTAGTAATTATGCAAAATTAATCTTTAATTTTATTCTTAGTACTCTTGTAAGGTGAACAACCATACAATTTTAACTGATTGCCCTATTAGGGTATGTTGCAGTGCCCTATCTCAAATGCTCATGGAAATAGAGATGAAATTGCAAGGATCAGTCAAGAGTGTAAAAGAGAGAGTTTTTGGTACAGAGGTAAGTGACCCAAATTCATTCTGCACTTGATTTTTTTTTCAGGTAAGCAGTGTTTAAAATGCTTCTGTGTGCTTTGCTAGGTAATGCTCAGGTGTGCTTTCTTGACTGTTAGTCTTAGGACTTCATTTTGTCATCCTTACTTATATTGAGTAGGACCTTAGTATAAAGGTAATGGGATTATTTGCACAGTATGGCAGTATTCAGTGTAAATCAAAATGGTAAAACAGGATTCTTAACTGTTAATCATTATTATGATTAGACTTATCACTAGCCTTGACATCTCTTATTAAACTAACTTAAAGGGTGCTCATCATTGTTTTCACATCCATGTCCTCAATTTTCAACTTATTCAAGAAATAACAAAGATTCTGTTTAATTTCAAGAATAAAACAGATGTTATAGCCAGATTTGCACTTGGTCTGTTGGGTGGTAACCCTAATGGCTAGATTAGCTAGGGAAATATAGGCACCTAAATGCCTCTTTAGGTACTCGAGTCCAACATTTAGGCACTATTAGCATTAAACAAAATGCCTGCTTAAACTCCTGCTGCTGGACAGATGCACAGCCTCCTAGGCATTGAGCAGTTCAGTGCTGTCAAGACTTCTCACACACAAACCCAAACAAGATTTGCAAAGTAGGTATTTATTCCCCTGCGTGTCTTACTTGGAAGACCTGGTCTGTCAAGTTTGCTTTGAACATGACTAATCTCACATTTAAAAACGGGCTGAAGTGCTATCACTCCCCCTCTTCATATTAATCCAGTAGTGTCATGGTTAAAGCACTCACTTTGGAGGGAAGGGGCCAAGAGTATGAAATACTCAGGGGTGAGACTCCTCATTCCTTCTGCTGAAGTTGTTTCTCTTTTCAATCAAATAATTTTCATGTCTGTTTTTTCCCAGCTCTTCCTTTGTCTTTAGGAAGCATGCTTGTCACTGAGAGGCTGATTTCTAAAGGTAAATGGAAAAATACATAAATACTAGAGATGGCCCAAGTCATCAAGTTCAAATCCAGAACTGATACTACATCAAAAGTTTCCCAGAGCTTGCTGCTTTTCAAATTCAGTGTTCGTTTCATTCAGTACTATTGCTTTTGTGATTTGAAAATTAATTATTCTTTGCCACAACCCATTCTGAATGTTTCTTTTTAAAATTATATCCTTCCAGCTCTATTCTAGCACTGTTAGGGTGCATCTAGACAAGCATGGACATTTGTTTCCCTGGGAACAAGTAGCAGTGACACACTGTGTACCGCTGCTACTCGTCACCAGGGAATGCCCATGCCATGCACACTCTGATGCACAGCAGGTTACCCCAAATTGGGTAGGAGAGGTGGAGGGCAGCAACTTTGCTGGCCTCAGTAGCCTTACCTGGGCTCCTAGGGGTCTCCCAGGGCTGCAGCTGCAGCAGGACACCTGGCTGGCAGCCAGAGCATGGCTCTAGCCAGCCAGGCTCTGGTTTTGGGTAGTACACGTTGCTGCCACATGCGCCACCCCGCTTTTTTTCAGCATGGGCTTTTTGACCCCAGGGTCAACCAACCCCCCCCCCCGCTTGTGCTGCAAGGTAGGAGCACAGGGAACACCTGCATGTGTGGTGTGTAGCACTGCAGGCAGGTCTCTGGCACCACATATCACACATCTGCACTTGTCTGGACATAGCCTTAGAGTCTATACACGGATAGCATTGTTGTCTTCATCAGGATTCTGTATGGAGCAGGGAACTGTTGTTATTGGCAGCCCCTAGATAGAACTGTTCAGCATGGGTAAGAGTATCAGTCTGGCATGGTAGCTCCAAATTCTGACTTCTGAAAAGCATCGGTGGGGTTTTTATAATGCCACTTATTCCTTAATACAAAGAGGCAAAGAATACTGTACTGCCAAAGTTGGAAAGCAGGGAGCTATTATAGAGATGCTTTGTGATCTGCAGGATGAGAAACCAGAGTATTGTGTTCCATTTCTATAGCAGTTGAGTCCAGCTAGACTTTGAATACCCCTTAAAGAGGTACAGATTCTTTTCTGTGGGTCTGACTCCTTAGTAGGGGGAAAATGGGGCTTGACAGTAGTACTCTACAAAGTCTACCCCTTTTTCCATGGCAGCTGGGTGTTAATGATCACTCAGTAGTGAAACAACTATTATTATTTTTTAAATTATTATTATTTTTATTAATGCCTTTGCTCAGTTGAAATGATGGGGCAGTTCAAGAACAAATGCTGAACCTCTTATCAAAGGTCAAATGAAGAGGCATTGCATCATTCAACCCTGAAAAAGGAAATTGCTTACCTTAAAGCTTAGTACGTGGCCTTGTATGGTTACATGGCCACACCATTGCAACTTCTACAGCTCAGTGGCTTTAGAAGCAGCTGAGGCTTTTGTGTTGAGTCATCCCCACTCCACATTGTGCGAATCCACAAAGTGGCAAATCTGCCATACACTTCTCTATCTTGCCTCTGCCACCAAACTTGTCTGTGTGGAACTTTGCTGCTTAGCCTGGCCCCACAGAACTCTCAGATGCACTGTTTCCTTTATGCTTAGGGCTTTCTATTACCCTTGAAGGAGGATCATCATTTGGCCTTCAGAGCTATTGTTGCAGTCACTCTGCAGACTCAGCCATGCACTGGTTCATTCTCATAATAGCTTTTGAAGTGTATGAGCTACCAATGTGATTTTTTTTTTTATTTTTAGGGATGCAGCAATAGAGATTTTGTGGGCTAATACCGATACGTGATATTTAAGGAGGCCTACCGGCCAATACCAATCCAAGTTTCCACCAGCTGGTAAATTCATGTGGTGAAAGGGGCGGAGGGAGGGGGCAAGGGTATGTGCTGTCCAACTTGGGTTTGGCGGGTGTGGGACAGAGCCACAGCTAATGCCCCTGCCAATGCTTGCACCCCAGGAGGGCGGGGGGGATGCCCTCAGATCTGGACAGGGCAGGATGTAGCTGGAGCTGCACAGGGCTCTTATCAGGGACTTGGGCTTGGAGCAGGCGCCAGTGGCACTGGGAGGGCACTGTAACTGCCCCAAATTTTGCCACAGCTCCGCTCCTAGTGCTGCTGCTGCCAGCTGCGCAGTGCAGCCCCGGCTCAATCCCCCACCTCCATCCATGCTCCGGGAAGAGCTGGGGCTGCTGGTGGTGATGGCATTGAGAGTGGAGCTGCAGTGAAATTTGGGGTGGCTGCAGCCCCCTTCCAGTGCTGCCGGCACCCACTCCAAGCCCAGCCCCCAGCAAGAGCCCAATCCAGCTCCAGCCCACAGCTGCAACACACCTTCCCTGCCCCATGCAGATCCAGAGGCATATAACCCCCATGCCCTCCCAGGGTCCTCCCCCCACCTACCAAGTAAGCTGCGTCTTGGTCCCATGCCCGCCCTGCCCCAGCTGGGCAGTGCCCACCCCTGTCCCCCCCACCACAGAAGGTGTTAATCTGCCCCCTCCCCCCCCTTCCACCACATGGTGTTACCAGCTGGAGGCAGCTGTCTAAGCTGCTGACTCTGCTCCTTGCTGCCTGAGTGCTGCACTGTGGCTGCGTGCAGCATGGGCATTTATTGGCCAAATTATTGGCCCCATTGGGCCAATTTCCAAAACAGTCAATTTTCTTTATATCAGTACCAATCCAATGTCAGACCAATGTATTGGTGCACCTCGAAATTTTTTTAATGAAAGTTTAATTATTGCAAATAAGTTGGGGCGGGGGAGACTGGTTCATTCTCCCCCCCACCCCTCTCTGGAATTGGCTGCAGTTTGCTATGGCAGTCACATAACATGGTTGTGGCCACATGGTTATGACCACGCATGCTGATTATAGAGTGTCAGTAACAGGTCTTGCAGAAGATCCACTCCTTGGCTTTTAACCTGCTGCCTGCAATTTGAGAGCTCCAAAGCAAAGGCAGGATATAAATGGAAAGATTAGAGGGAGTGATAGGTATCTGGAGGATTGAGGGGAAAATTCCTGATGCTGCATTTGGTTTGTTGCCTGAAGGTATCAAGTGAATCTGGGGAGGTAAAGGTATGTCATGACATCCTCCTACAAAACTGAGATGAGAAATAAGCCATTATTGTCACATGACTTGAGAGGAGGGGGATTTTGTGGGAATCTTTCCATTTTCTTTTCTGTGCATGAATTCCATCTTAGCCTCTCTAAAGTCAAAATGTCATAGTGACATTTCTTCTCCAATGGAAGAGGGTAAACATGGTTCTCCCTCTTGACAGTTAACACTAGTATGATCACTGGCCAAAGCAGGTCAATGAAGAGCATTGGCAGCCTTCTCATTGTTATCTCCCAGATCCAGCTGCTCTAGGAGGTAGAAATTGAAAGAGAAGTGGATTCCAGCTCCCTATGTTGTGGAATAAGGCATTTTCCCTCCTGACACTTGTGAGCCATCACACAAGTAGCCTCATTGTGAATTACCAGAATGCATTGTAAAGGGTGATTTAGGTTACTCTGTTTTCAAGTATTATATAGTCTTCTCTTAGAAATGAGAGAGGCTTGCTAGAAAAAGCCCATTTTCTGTTATTCAGTGGTGGCAGCTTTCTGGAGTGGGAAGTATATTCTTAACTATTACTTTTTTTTTTTTTTTTTTAAAAAGGGGTTTTCACTTGATTTTTTTTTTTTTTTTTTTAAAAAGGTGTTTTCACTTCAAGCCCAAGATTTGGATCATTACCTAAGATTGCATGTAAGTTAAAGATCAATTTAAAAAAAAAAAAAAGGACAGAGCAATTGGGGTAAGCTAATTTACAGTAGAATAGTAATTCTTCAAATCTCTACTATCCCGACTTCTCTTGCAAACTATCAGGGCACTTCCCTGTTCTCTTAAATCTTAGTTACCAGACTCATTACTTATTTGCCCATATGAAGCATTACCGGAGCAGTTCAGGTAACAGGAATTCTACTGTGGTTCAGATTGATTTAGTAAGTAAAATTTGTTTAAGGTAGACTTTTTCAGAAAGGCCTTGGACAAACATTCACTAGGAGCAGTTACAGAGGGCAGGAGAGCTGCTGCTCAGGAGTGTATAGCAGCTGTTACACTTGTACTACTACAAGCCTTTACTGATACAAGTAAGCTAAACAGTTAAACCTGGATGAAGTAGGGTTAAAGTTGGAGCAATGTATCATAGCAATTCAGAGTAGTAGCTCCCTCTTCCCTCCTTGAAACTGTTCCAAGTGAACATTCATCCCTGCCCCAAGTATGTATTATCAGTTGACCAATCTGTGCTATATTATAACAGCCCCTGCCTTTGTTCTTCAAATAATAGCAGCCTTGATGATCTGCTTGTCTGCCATCTCCCACGCCATCCCTAACTTTTGGGGAAAACTCCCAGTCAAGAATCTAGAAAGCCAGTGCCTATTTTATCCTTGTTAAATCTTACCTTCGCCATAATCCATATAAAAAAACCCCATCATCTGGTGGTGGCTAGGCAGCTGATGAAGTATGATCGCTATTGTGGATTACTTACAAATTGGGTCCAAAGCTAGCCTATGTCAAGACGTTCTACTATTTTTATAGTCTCACCTCCTTGCCTTATCGTTTTGCTTGTTTTAGCCAGTTGTTATACCTAGTCTTTTGTATTTTAAACGTTATGGGGCCAGGGCTGTTATTTATGACATGGCAGTTCAGCAGCAAGGCCTTGACAGTATCATAAAATTACTTAAATGAGGCCCCAGTGCAATTAAGATCTTTAGGTACTGCTGCAGTATTATCAATAAAATAATAGCAATGCAAACTCAAATTATTTACTGCAAATGTGTGATTCAGGACCATTTTTGTATAGATACTCCACTGCACTAAATTTATGTAACAGCCCAGCTAATTAAGCATCATCATCATGTTTTTCTCTTCCCAGAAGAGAAGTAGATTTCTTTAGTGGTTCAGTGGGGAACTGAAACAGGTGGGCCTTCTCGAAGCCAATTTACCTGTGGCCCACCCACCTGTTTCTGGGCTAACCACCCACCATGCCTTGATGATAATTAGTTAAATGTTGTTAATTAAGCAGGAGGCTGCCCATTTCTTGCCCCGATGCCAGGGGGTGTTATCTGCAGCTCCATACCTCTCCTACACCACAGCCCATGCCTCACAGATGGCATCCTCTGTTCTTACCATCACCAGCCCCACTCTGGGCCCCAGAATCCTACTGTTTGAACCCCACCTGGATCCCTCCATTCAGGTAGCCTATTCCACCTTTATTCTAGGCTACATAGCTCCCTGAGCTGCTTCCCCTTTATGGGTGTGGTCCCCCTAGGACCTTTGGCTACACGGGCCCTGGCCCCACCTCCAGGCCAGTCAGAACCCCAGGCCCTCAGCTCTGGGCGTCTCTCGTGGTGGGCCCCTGGCCCTTCAACCCTTCCATTCCTGGCCCCAGCATTGACTAGTCAGGGGATGTCAAGATAGGTTTCTGAGTCTATGGCCCCACTCTCTTGCTGGGGTCCACTTTCTGGACTCTACAAGGGGGTAACCCACCCAGTTGTGAGAGCTGGGGTTAAGGTGCCCGGACCTGCCTTTCACTGGGGTGGTAACTGGCCTGGCATTTCTTGGGAGCTCCTGCGCCACTAACAGGCCCAACCAGGCCACCCACTCCCAGCAGGGTATAGTTTTAGGTTATGCCCAGGACCAGGAGCCTCCTGACCATCCCCTACAGCTCCTCTCTTACCTCCAGAGTGTTCCATGAAGCTTCACAGCCGGGTGATATTGCAAAATGCCCTGTTTATATGAGCGGCCCCCTGCAATTAAGTACCTGCTGGCTGCTTGGCCCCAGGTCTTAAAGTGACAGGCACAAACAGTGCCCTGCCACAGGAACCTTCACTGTGTTGCTAAAAGGAGCATTTCTTTTTGGAGGAGAATTTAAGTAGTGCCCATTATAGGACGGCCATGGTGAAGCCCCAGCCATGGAAAAAAGTTATAGGGGATGAAAGGGTTGTAGGGGTGCATCGATAGAGGTTTTTGGAGCTGAAACCGATAGCTGATTTTTAAGGTGGCATATCAGCAGATACCAATCCGATTTCTGATATGCAGCCCAGCAGCTTGAAGAGCAGTGTCCAGCTAGTAAATCTGTTGTGGTGGGAAGGGGTGGGGGAAGGGAAGGGGTCTGAGGGGCAGTTTGAGGCTAGGGGACGTACGCCCTGGATCTGTGCAGGGCGGGGCTGCACCAGGCTCTACCTGGCAGGGGGCTGGGCCGGGCTGCACTTGGGGTAAGTGGCAGTGGCGCTGGGAGGGGTCCACAAGGGGGTGCCGCAGCCATCCTAAAATTTGTGGTAGCTCCTCCCAGCAACGCTGCCCACCCCAAGCACAGCCCGGCCCAGACCCCACTGGGAAGAGCCTGGCGCAGCTCCAGCCCCAGCGCACAGCAGCAATCCGCCTCACCCAGTAGCAGATCCAGGCGCACATGCCCCCCATGCCCTCAGGGTGTGTGCAGGGCTGAAACCGCTGCCTTTCCCCCCGCTCCCCCCAGATGAGCCGTGGCTCTGCCCCATGCCACCCTACCCCAGCCCCACTCCCTCCCTCACTGTGGGGGCCTTGATCTGCCCCCTCACGCCTCTCCTACCACAACATTCGTACCAGCTGGACGCAGCTCTCCAAACTGCCGGGCTGTGCTCCTCACTGCCTATGTGCTGCGCTGCAGCTGTGCACATGCATGGGGCATTTATTGGCCGAATTATGAACCACATCGGGCAAAATAGCTGATTTCCAATACAGTCAGTTTTCTTTATATCGGTGCCGATCCGATGTTGGACCAGTGTATCATGTATCTCTAAAGGGTAGTCGTTAAAAAAATACCATGGTGCATTTTGACAGCACAGGAGCAGTTACTGCTAACATCTTGGTCAAATATCACTTGGAGTTCTTCATGGAGTCTGCTTTTATATAAATCGCCCCTGTAATTCTAGTCAAATAGGGTTCAGTTTTTCACATCTGAACTGTTGCATTGTTTCAATCCTGAACAGCTATTATGTTTCATCAATGAGATGGTTGTAGTAGGTGAAAAGAATCCTATTACAGCATGGTCTTTGTACATGTTTATAAAATATTTTGGAAAACAGCATGCTACAGAGGTAGTTTATTTAAAAAAAATCCTGGGATTAAGATGTAGGCTTCTTGAGCTGGACTCCTGAGTTAAGACTCTTATACTAACTACATTGTGTGATGTATTTTTACAGTTGCTGGTGTCTTAGGTTTTGCCATTGGAACAATGTCATATATAGGCGTGTGCCAGAAAAAGTTTCAAAGCATAAGTGCTGCACCACTTGGTCCAGAAGATAAAAGGTTTGTTCTGACTGCATAATGAATAATTGATCTTAAGTGTTGTTGAGAATTAATCTAATCATAGTTGTTGAAAACAGAATGAAAAAAAAGGTGGTTACCACGTGAATTTAAGTTCTTACATCCTTTCCCAAGGTTTATATATCACGGTTATCTTGTTAGAAAGATAAAAATTAAATTAAATGCAAGGCATGCTTAACCAACCTGATTTCCATCTATTACAAAGGTAGTGGGATGGGAGAGAGCAGTGGATGTAATATACCTCAGCTTTACCAAGGGTTTTGACACTCCCACAACATTCTCATTAATAAACTAAGGCAGCAGTTCTCAACCTTTTTGAGACTTGAGGCACCCCTTGGAAAATGCTAGTTCTTAGTTTTCACTTGATTCTTGACTATGGAAAAATCATAGAGCAATTATTCTGTTGCAAAGTACTGTGAAAGACCACAACAGGTCAAACTAGTTTTGACACTATGGATTCCTGTTTGAAATCTCTGCGTTTTATTTTGCAAATTTTCAGTTTTTCTGTCTTATTTTAGCCATGGTAATCATACCTGCAAGGAGTGTGAAACAAACTCCTGATCTAATGAAAGGGAACACGAAAGGCCCACACCTTCTTAATCCCAGGTACACACACTTGAACTTGTATGAAGTTTTGATTTCCTTCTTTATTCTGAACGGAGTTCTCATTTAAAACACTTAGCACTGCACAATATAAATTCCATTAGAAATGAAACAAAACCTGAGAATGAGCAGAAGAAATGCTTTTTTTTAATACCTCTAAGTAAATTTGTTTCTGCTTAACAATATTCATTTTTAATCTCTATTTATGAGGAATTCTTAATTTAGATGCAAATTCTCAGGAAACAACACTATTTATTTTTAACCTAACTGGAAGTCATTTTTATATTCTGCCTACTGTATATTCTAAATAAACTAATGTAACCCTGCTGGCTTGAATACTATTTCTGTGTCTTGTTTTTGACTTGAACATTCACAGATTGCTCTGTTTGGATATGTAAAATACAGCTGAAATATTATGCTTTGAAAGTATGGACAGTAAATAATCTTTACCAAGTTAGACTAAGGTATTAGATTCAAATGTAAAGCTATTACCCTGTAAGATTATTTGGCTAGCCTTTCATAGGAAACCCAGTTATATGATCCATAAATGTTGCTTCTGAATCTAGGACCCCATGAATTATTATCCTAGCAGATCCTATTAATTGACCCTAGTCAGTTAGGATGGATTTGTGAAAGTATATTAACTATTAAATATTTTGAGAAAATATTTTGCTTTTGTAGAAACCATTATAAAAATCATTACTTCATTAGAGTATCCTATCTCCATTAATAATCTGGAGGATTTTTTTCACTTGCATCTGACCATGCACTTTCTAAAGCAGTTGAAGGAGTTAGCCAGACAATAAGTAGACAGCAAAGATTCATCTGAACCCATGCTCTGCTTATCACACTGAAGTCTGCAGTAATATTCAGCTAAGGGAGAATTCTTGAAATACTTAAATGACTAAAGTTCAGTGGAATTTACAGTGCTAAATCTTTTAATATTTGTGAGAATTTTACTTTCCTTGAACATGAGTATTTCTAAATAAAGAACCCAAGCACGCTTGATTAAAGATTGCCATTGTTGCAGCCATATAAACAGGTGTTGTTGCATAAGAATTTAAGTCTTCTGCTCACTTGACACAGCCTTAAGTTTGAACTTTAGGACAGTGTTTCTCAACCTTTTAAGTAGCAAGTACCCCCTAACTTCTGAAAATTTCAATAAGTACCACAACACTCAATTTTTGAAGGGATTTTATATTTACAGACTAACGCGTGCCATATGTTGGAAGAAGAGCTGCGTATACAAGGCCATGATATGACAGATGTCTGATCTGGTGTGGGTAGGGTTGCCACCTTTTACACCAGGGGTGCACAACTCAAATATGTACCTGGGCTAGACGTGATGTTGGCCAAAGCTAGGAGGTCTGAACCAAATTATTACTGGAGAATTTAAAGTGCCGCACAATGCACGGTGCACCAAATTTTTTGCCATAGTTTTGAGAGGAGGAAGGTGAGAGAGGAAAAGAGGGTGAGATAGAGTGTTGGGGTACCCGCATACCCCCTGCCTATGTCTCACATACCCCCAGGTGTATGCATACCACAGGTTGAGAAACTATGCTTTAGGAGATGGCCCTTGTATTTAGATCTTTCTCAGGCTTGACAGAGGAATTTTGAGCTGAGATTATTCAATTATAGAGGTATTGGTTACCTTTAAAATATGTTCTGTGTATACCCAGAGCCAGTTGTGATGAGCAGGTTTTTCAGTTAGGAAAAATAAATGTATGGGTTGGGTTATATTTCATATAATTAAAAATATTATTATGATTAATTACTTAACTATTTAACTGGACTACAGGAAGTTTTCTATGATTTGAACGCTAGTCTTTTTCCTCCTAAAACATATAATTAGTGAGTCAGGGGCATCATGGACAATAAATACTGCTTTTCACTACTTCTCATAACTAAGAGAGGCTTGCTCACGCTCTTGGAATATGTCAGGGTAAAATCATGGTCCTGCAGGCAAATTCCAGGACCAGACTCCTATCTTAGAGTCCTGCAGAGCTCCCACAGAAGTTACCAGGGAGCTACACAAGTACATCTAAGAAATCTGCTCTCAGTGTGAGGCTTTTTATAAAATGTGCATTTTTTTCAGATGTAATTTCTTTAAAAGTACTTCATCTTGGCATCTGTGTTGCAGACGTAACGAAGATGACAAAATACTGCAGAACCAGTTGTTTTCTGAAACAGCTTATTTTGGACAGATGAAATGAAGCCTCCCATCACCTGTTAAGCAGTTCACCTTGAGGCTTGATTTAATAAATTCTTGCTTATAACTAATTTCAAGTAATGCAGTTTTTATTTGTTATGCTGCTGTTCCTGCAATAGGATTTTCTTTCTTTCTTACATTCAGTGTAGCTAGTTCCTCAGATTTTGCAGTTCTTGCAGTTGTAAATCAGTTGTAAGCAACAGGTTGCAGTTCATCACATTTGCCTCCTGCATCAAAAAACAGAAAAGTGGGAACATTTAAATTATTTTGCAGTGCCAAGACACATACTCTGGCCCCCACACTACTGGCCACCCTTACCATGAAGAAGCTTTTTCTGATATCTAGCCTAAATCTCCTGTCAGTTTGTAACCATTGTTCCTTGTTACCCCAAGAGGCACCCTGGGGAACAGAGCAGCCCCTGCTGTGTCCCCCTAATGAATTTGTAGGTGGCCACAAGATCACCTCTCAGCCTTCTGTTGCGGAGGCTGAAGAAGTCCAGGTCTCTCAGTCTCTCCTCATAGGGCTTGTTCTGTAAGCCCCTAACCATACAAGTGGCCCTCCTCTGAACCCTCTCGAGTCTATCAAAATTCTTCTTGAAGTATGGTGCCCAAAACTAAACACAGTACTCCAACTGCAGTCTGACCAATGCCGCCTAGAGGGGAAGTATTACCTCCTTGGTTCTATTTGTCATGCATCTGCTGATGCATGATAAAGTGTGGTTAGCTTTGGTGATGATATGTTTTAAACCTACCCTTGCTTGTTTTGGCCACACACAATTGCTATAATAGAGTTCTTCATATGCCAAGGTTATTTATTAAAGGAAAAACCTCTCTCCTCAATAAAAGCAGCATTATAAATTCACTTGATTAACCAGCTGCTTTCTTTTTTTGTTCTTTTTTTCCGACTTAGCCTTGTGACTGCTCACACTATCAAAAATGATCATTCTTGAAGTAGTATATGAGCACTGAGTTTGTGGCACATAAGAGAAAAAAATATCAAAAGCTAAGTAGTACCTTTATGCAGGAGAAACTATCCTTAAAAGGTTTTTAAAGAGTTAGACTACATTTCATGGAATTTACAGCAACATTATTCTAAGAACTTTAAGTAGCAGCTTCCAGACACTGATCTCTGAGTTGCTAAGTAATGAGCCTATATTTCCTGGCAAAAGTTATTTAATATTGTTAAAAAGCAGTTCCCCATATTCCTATCACCAATAAATTGTTTCAAGTAAAGCACATAATTGGGGAACAACCATTTAAAATTAGATAGTAAATAATGTTGAAATACTTCTTTAATACTTTAAATAAACTAAAACATTAATGGACTGAATATCTCAAATTGTAATAAGTATGAGGGACATTCAGGACTTTCATATGCCATTTATTTGTGGGCAATTCTGGAGAATTAAAACTACCAACTCCCATGATATTGTTAGTCATAGCTGTCAAGGACTTGCCCAGCAACATACATGTGGCTCATGGAATTGTCAGATAAATAACACCTAGAGCATCTGTATAAAGTGTGGAACACTTTGTTGGAAAGCAGATACTTAGAAGGTTAATTATACTTTACATTTTATAATCCAGGGAGGACCAGTCAGTTCTGTTTCCATTACTCGTTTATAGGGTAAATGTTAAGAGCAATGGGAAAGCCAACAAGCCCTTACTTTGGCATAGATGACCTCATTAAGAGCCCAGGATCTCACAATAAGGTATCCATGAACTCACAAGTTGGCATGAACTGATGACAGGAGCCAAAAAATATTCACCAGCTGGATGGCCAGAACTCAGATGAATAAATGAAAGAAGGTGAATTAAGTATTTGAAATGCTCAGTTGCCTAAGTGAATGCCTCACATGTGAGTCAAGTAAAGATATTAAAGAGGAAACTTAAGGCTTTGACCACTTTCACCCTTTTTGGGTAATCTATAAGAGGTCTGAGACAAACCTCAGCACAGAAGGGGGCACAGAAGGGAATTGGTGAGGTTTTATTCACCAAGGCGCCCCCGGGGGTTACAAGAAATAATGGCCACAAGCTAGCAGAGAGCAGATTTCGATTGGACATTAGGAAGAACTTCTTCACAGTTAGAGTGGCCAAGGTCTGGAACGGGCTCCCAAGGGAGGTGGTGCTCTCCCCTACCCTGGGGGTCTTCAAGAGGAGGTTGGATATGCATCTGGCTGGGGTCATCTAGACCCAGCCCTCTTTCCTGCCTATGCAGGGGGTCAGACTCGATGATCTATTGAGGTCCCTTCCAACCCTAACATCTATGAAACAATTGACTCTCCCTTTTTCAGTCACATTCCTTTTAGCATGGGAGGAAATCTGCAAGAGAACAGAGCCTGTGAAACATCAAGTATTATTGCATAGTACCAAGACACCTCATTTCCTGCACTAACAACATCTCCCCTTTGCTGGAAGAGCCTGCAGAGAGGTTAGAACAGTGAACAGGTAGGAATTTCTCTTTAGAATGTCTTGTCCTCTACAGAGATTAAAAAGTGAATTGTACCCTTGTGATTAAGGGTACTGTCTCGGACGGCCAGAGCCGACTCGAGGTGATTTAGAAATTGCTCGTTTGTCAGGGCGGGCTGGTGAATGGAGAGGCAGACAAGGTTTAATGGTTGCAAAAACGTTTACTTATGCCGCCTGTAGTTGCGACGCAGATGGTCCGGTCGTCTGAACAACCACGTGGGTTGTTCTAGCTGGCAAGGCCCAAGCCAGTTAATCCGTCCGCAAATCAAGCCGGTGGGAAAAGGGTACGTCTGGGATTGCGCTCGGCGACAGGAAGAAAGATCGATAGGTGATCAGTCTGTCGATCAGCTAGCCGCAAGTTAGATCTCTTTAGAGGCACTCTGCAGCGTGCTCAAAGTTCTTCGCCTTGGGCGGAAGTCGCGCGAATTTTTAAACGGCTAGCTAGCCAATTACTAGCCACTACATAGGAATAATTTAGCACTGGCCAATAGCGGGACACAAATTTGCATTTGAATAGTGGGAACTCTTTGCACCGTGCATTTCTGTGCTGCAAGGAAGAAATGCATCCTGCAAGTTGGCGGGAAGTCTCTTGCACCGAGGTTCTTCTGTGCAGCAAAAACCTTCGCTGTGGAAGAGGCTCTCATGTGGCAAGAAAATTCCATCGTGCCGAGGCACCAAAATCACTGGGTTGTGACAGGTACAAGACCAGTTGACAATAGCAGCATCCACTGAAAACAGAAATGCATGTCTTTTCTGTAACTGAAAAAAATCAAAAGAAAAATAGCTTTTTTCCATAATGTAAGTTTGTATGGTAAGATAAACTTCTATGTGTTTTATGTAATCATGTAAATAAGGGTTAGAAGATGAGAGTTGGGCATCAATAAATTATCTGTTATAGGGACCTCTCTAGAAACTATTTAAAAAGCCCCTGGTTTCACTGGAGTTAAAAATATATACAATTACTGGGATAGCATAGTAGAATTTTAGGCCCAGAAAAAACACCTTCCTGTTGAAATCCTGACTGACAAGTTTGACTTTGGTCAATCCAATTGATCACTAATTTTCTTGTAAAACTAGAACATGAAAATAGAAAAGGCAGGAGCTTAGTAGGAACCACAGAGTGCAGCTATTGTTTATCCAGTTAGATAAACAGCAAATAAAAAATGCTTGGCTTCTGCACCATTTAATTCAGGTATATGAACTTTGTCTGATTCTGCAAGTAGCCAAGAATCTTTAACAACTGGCCTGTAAATAAAGTAATTTTTCTGGAATATTTTCTGAGAAAAAGGTCAGTTTTAAATATTGATGCAACTTAATGCTTTTTTAATTAATTACTTAATGCTTACTTGATCACCCCAGGCACCTACAAAGTGGTCCAGCTTGTGCCAGCAGGAGCTGTGTTCGTTGGAAAGCTCTGAAAAAAATATCAGGCCATTTTTGTCAGTAGCTAGCTATAAACATTTCAGTAAGAATATTTTGGTCCAAGCACATAATATCAGTCTGAGCTTTCATTTGAACTCTAGCTTCACATTTTGTGCTGGCATGACACACTTCCACAAACATAACCAGGTGAGAAATCTTGAAATGCCATCAACTTCTGGAAAATATAGAATTAAATATCTTGCAAAATTAGTGATAATCAAGTTTAATGGAACACAATTCAAAATTACTAAAAGAAACTTCTAAAACCCTTTTCAGACTGAAGTCATGACATCATGGTGTCCCTCAAAAAACAGGAAAACACATCTTGGGGCATGAAGGAGATTGTTTTCCATTGGCTTTCCCTATCAGAAAGGTTTTCTATTAATGTATTCCCTGAGTGAACTTGAGATCTTCAGTTAAAAAGGTCAATTGTATGGAAATGAATACATCATATTAGGTAATATGTTAGATATGTTCCCCTGAGCCCCCAGCAGCAATATTCATTAGAGTAAGCAGCATGACACTTCAGATCTTTCCAAATAACAAATAGCTGGAATGCCTTATCTCAGATGCATGTTTCAGCAATATGCTTCACTAGCTTTAGCTATATACTTTGATCTCAGTGGCTAAATCAATAAAAGTCCTCATGTAGCAAATGCTATATGCAGAATTGTCACATGTAGAGATTGCAAAATACAGATCAGAAACTTTATCCTGCAGCAGATGCTTGTCATTAAACCACTTCCCTTGCACTTACTAGTTTCATGAATCATGTCAATCATAAGAATCTCAATAGCTGCCTTAGTTCCATGCTGCGTACAAGTGTGCCCATCTAGCCAGGAGCAGCAAAACCTGCAGCTGAACGGTTGGCAACTCTAGTTTAAGAGCTGCCAAACAGCTTGCTCTCAAAGAACTGTGGCTGATTTCTCTTGCTTGCCTTTCTGTAATTTGAGCTTGCATGGCAAGACTGCTGCCTGAAATCTTTTAAGGGCTCCCTGCTTTGCTCCTCTTGTACTTCTGGCTTACTTACATAATAGGTAGTAGTCTACAGGTTTGGTTGACAGCTTGAGGAATGTTTTAATATGCAGAAGTTAGGAAGTCCCATAGAGGAATGAACACACATCAGCCTTCATAAAATTTAGGGCAGGGCCTATGTTCCATGTTTGGTGGATCAAAC